TGGTTTTCACAGCAACATGCCTGGACATCCATCCCCTCAATCAATACATAATTATATATATATATATACATGTATATATAGATTATTATATATGTTATATATATATGTAAATCATAACTATATATATATCATATATATATATATATTGGAACATCAGGTTTTGATCTACCTCTGCTTGTTTAACATAGACCGTGAAAGCGTTAATAACCAAGTCCCTGTTGGGCAGGGTCTATGTTAACATGGGGGAGCGTAGTTTATTCTAATCCCCACTGTTGATATTCACTTACACGACTGATTGGTGGTTTCAACCTCCATGATCATCATCCCAATCATCTATGGTTGAAGATTAATCACAATATGTCTAAACTATGAATGAAACCAGGAACCAAATGAAGTCAGCCTATGATCATTCTTCTGTTCCCCAATATTTCCTGTGATATTCCTATATACCCTATAATGTTCCCATGATTACCTCTTATTTTCCTTCAAAAACAAATCAGAAGCATCCGAGACCTATAATTCCAATTTCAGAGTCCCTACCCTATTTCATAATTCTATTTCATAGTCCCTATTTTATTTGCCTCTCCCCATCACTGTCCCATGTCCTTATGACCGCATCTAATCCCAAATTGGGTAGTATAGCCCTTACAGCCCTTACAATTCCCTATACATTCCCCAAGTTTTATGGATTTTCATCATATCCTTTCCATGTTGGGCCCAACCTCATTTCGCATCCTCCGTCCCCATCTCCAGTTTCAGGTACCAATAGCCATAGGAGTCCGCTGAAGTCCCAAAGGTCCAGTAGTCCGCCCAGTAGCCGCAGGACTTCAGAACCCCCGTTTGAAGTTCCTGAAAGGTCGCGTTTTGCCTCGGGACCGGTGAACGCGCGAGGCGATCAAGAAACCATAAACAAATAATAAAAGAAGGGTAGGGGCATGAACATTTGGGGATGTCTGAAATGCGGATATAGAATCTGGGAATATCTGGGATGTAGTTTCTATAATGATGATATATTAGTCTAAAAACACAAAAGGCACTTTCTTTTCGAACCACAAACAAGACGAATTGAACTATAGAAATACATGGTGGGTTTCCCACTGGCACCTATCTGTTATGTAAGGATTCTGAGTCCACAGGGAAACAACCATGGCTATTTCTGGTTGGGGGTTCCAGGATAGGGAATAATAATTATGAACATCATTGGGAGATAATGGGATGCCAATGAGCAAATTTAGGAAGAAACAATGTAGAATACATACGCCCATTGGCTTCCACCCATATCAGAGCGTTTTGGTTAGCGGGTCGCACGCATTCACAAATACGAAGCGGATAGAATGGGACAGATCGCAAGGTATTAGAGTGAAACAATGAACTTTTCAGACATGAACAGAATGCTCACAAGAATAGGGTGAACATTAGTCGTTGTATTAGATATATTGGATATAAATGCAGAATTATTAAATATTATTGTATATATATATAAATTGCATATTATTACAGTAAATAGTCTGTTCTGCTTCTCGCTGATCCGCTCCAAAGACTCTCTGTAAGGGACTTTTTTATGGTTGAATTTCTCAGCCACATCCCGAGGAGTCCAAACTGGATGATCCCTGCCATAGCCCCCCCCCATGCCAGCATACCTTGGAATAATTGGATATTATTCCAGCCCCATTGCACATGTTCTGGGAAAACATTCCAGTATGTCACACGACATCGGGAATAATTAGGGTAAATTTAGGGCAACCCCCCCCTCTCCATTCATATAAAAATACAAGTTGTAATCAAATTTGGTATATTGGCATGTGTTGATTGAGGTTGTATTGCCACAAACCACTAGAAACCTAGTGTCAGAAAACCTTTTCAAATAAGCTCAAAAGTTTATTGGGATCCTGAAAGTTTTGCTCGTTCCTGGTTTCAAAGATGTGCTCCGGCAATGCTCAACCTATCTCAACCTGTGAAGAATTCCTAGGTGTTTCCTGGTGATGCCCAATTTCCCCGGGTGGTTTAGAGTGGAGAGACAGTGTAACAGTCCAGAGGTGAGCTCTGGGGGTACTGTCGGAAGCTCATCTGGGAGAGGATAGTATCCTGCAGTGTCCTTGGGATCAATGGGTCCCTTACTACGTGCCGCATGAGTTTTGGCTGCTACGTAGGCTTGTTGAATCAGCGCTCCATGCTGTGTCGCCATGATGTGCAGGTATCTATAAGCCCGTATGGCGGCTTTTCTCGTGCTTGGACCGTCGTCGGCTTGATTTTTGTCGGCACGGGCCAGAATGTTCCTCGCTTCTTCTTCCCTTGCTTTAGCGGAAGACATATGGGTAACTTATGGTAACTTAGCCAAGGGCCAATGGACCCACTGAATCCCACTGAGTGAACATTGGTGACCCAATGAATGGTTTGAAGAATCCCTGGGTTTTTTCTGGATTTTCCTGGTGATGCCTAATTATTCCTGGGTGTTCTGACATATGTGGGTGACCTGTGGTTAAAATATGGGTACTTTAGCCAAAGACCAATGGGCCCACTGAATGAACATTGGTGACCCAATGCATGGTTTGAAGAATTCCTAGGTGTTTCCTGGTGATGCCCAATTTCCCTTGGGTGGTTTGACATATGTGGGTGCCCTGTGGAAGACATATGGGTAACTTATGGTAACTTAGCCAAAGACCAATGGACCCACTGAGTGAACATTGGTGACCCAATGAATGGTTTGAAGAATCCCTGGGTTTTTTCTGGATTTTCCTGGTGATGCCTAATTATTTGGGTGACCTGTGGTTAAAATATGGGTACTTTAGCCAAAGACCAATGGGCCCACTGAATGAACATTGGTGACCCAATGCATGGTTTGAAGAATTCCTAGGTGTTTCCTGGTGATGCCCAATTTCCCTTGGGTGGTTTGACATATGTGGGTGCCCTGTGGAAGACATATGGGTAACTTATGGTAACTTAGCCAAGGACCCACTGAGTGAACATTGGTGACCCAATGCATGGTTTGAAGAATCCCTGGGTGTTTCCTGGTGGTGCCTAATTATTCCTGGGTGTTCTGACATATGTGGGTGACCTGTGGAAAACATATGGGGGTGTCTCAAAATAGGGGTGCCCACATGAGTGCCCCATTTTTTTTTAGATGAACAAAGAAAGTTTGGGGCACTCCATTTTGGAGACATTCCCATATGGTAACTTATGGTAACTTAGCCAAAGGCCAATGGACCCACTGAATCCCACTGAGTGAACATTGGTGACCCAATGAATGGTTTGAAGAATCCCTGGTTTTTTTCTGGGTTTTCCTGGTGATGCCTAATTATTCCTGGGTGTTCTGACATATGTGGGTGACCTGTGGTTAAAATATGGGTACCTTAGCCAAAGACCAATGGGCCCACTGAATGAACATTGGTGACCCAATGCATGGTTTGAAGAATTCCTAGGTGTTTCCTGGTGGTGCCCAATTTTCCCTGGGTGGTTTGACATATGTGGGTGACCTGTGGAAGACATATGGGTAACTTATGGTAACTTAGCCAAAGACCAATGGGCCCCTGAGTGAACATTGGTGACCCAATGCATGGTTTGAAGAATCCCTGGGTGTTTCCTGGTGATGCCCAATTATTCCTGGGTGTTTTGACATATGTGGGTGACCTGTGGAATAAACATGACAAATGAGTCAAGAAAAATAATTTCCTTGGGTCCCCTGTGCTTTTCTATCTGGCATATCTTCTGACATTCTATCTGGCATATCTTCTGATATCTTCTGACATTCTTTCTGGCACTCTATCTGGCATATCTTCTGACATTCTATCTGGCATCTCTTCTGACATTCTATCTGGCACTCTATCTGGCATATCTTCTGACATTCTATCTGGCATATCTTCTGACATTCTATCTGTTATATCTTCTGACATTCTATCTGGCATATCTTCTGATATCTTCTGACATTCTTTCTGGCACTCTATCTGGCATATCTTCTGACATTCTATCTGGCATATCTTCTGACATTCTATCTGGCATATCTTCTGATATCTTCTGACATTCTTTCTGGCACTCTATCTGGCATATCTTCTCACATTCTATCTGGCATATCTTCTGATATCTTCTGACATTCTTTCTGGCACTCTATCACGGGCGATGAAACAGCACATAACAGATCATAACAGCACATGTATGCACATGTCATCACCGTTCTCATCTATTGTCATATATTGTCATCTATTTTTCAAGTGATGGTTCAAAATCTATCATAACTTATCATCTGAGTTTATATGCCCATCAATAGCTAATTATTCTGAGGTATGTTGACACAAAATATTCCATACAAGATCTGACATAGAATAGACCCCCTTAGCAGAATAATTCAAAATAGGCCCTAAAACTATTTATTCCAAATCAATTATTCCTGATGTGACATGCCCCCCTGGAATAATTACCCAAGGTAGGGGCCATCAAACTGGTCACATTCCGTCGGGTTGTTGGCATCCGTTGACAAGTCAATTGCTTGGCTTCTGGCTTGCGGAATCCACATATGGTATATAATGGTGATATACTGCGATTAAGTGCTGATTCAATGGAATTTCCTAGGATATAATGAATGTTCATAACCCTGTTGGTTGATTCCTATATGGGGCTCTTTAAAGTCATGGGGATTCCCAAGTCAGTATGGCTTAGAAAATACTTGATCTAGTGACTTGGATGATTTGGCGTACTCACCATGACTTAGCAAACCCGGGTATGGGTCAACATTGGGTACCCCACTTTGTACCCCAATAATTCCATGCTTAATACTAAAAAATGACTGACATCTGGTGGTCCGTAAGGTCTTGAATTTTGCATGTTGCGTTGTGCTTGCATCTGTGGGCACACAATTTGAGTAATTAAATGTAGTGAATGTAATTCGGTGGCTACCCCTTGTGGTACCATACTGAAGAAAAGTGTGGTACAATTTCAAAAACAAATCAATAACGGTAACCAGTATAGGCAATCAATCTCATTTTGGACAAGGACAACCATGGAATACGTTCACTGTTTCTCTCTCTCTCTCTCTGTCTCTCACCTCGCGTGTTCAAAACTATGTATAAATACAATATGCATATGTTTTGATGTTTGCATGCTGATTGTTGTTTGTCTTTTTTTTTTCGGTACCTACGTATACATGGTAAAACATGTTAACATAAAATATGAAAAATATTCCCATTCACGCAGCTACATCATGTTTCCTGAGACAATCTGAGACATGTGTTTGACAATTACCAACTCAAACCACCAGTTGAAACCCTTGGTTCAACGCATCGATTCGTCGATTCACCAATGGTCCAGCTCCTCCTCATCTTCAGTGGAACCTGAGCATCCAGGACACTTTTTCAAACACGTTTTTTGTGACTACCAAGTGGTGCCCCAGTTCGGGATGGCTAAGTTGGTTCTTGTCAGTTCTACTTCGGATTTATGGTTTATATATATAAAGTTAAATTATACCTGTACTTAGATGGGTTTAAAAACCAACTTAAAATTGGGGGAGCACAACATTGTATATGGATAAATCATGTCATATGACCTTGACTGAAAATATTGTGCTCATAAATCCGTGTGTTTATAATAATTCCCGCTGTCAAAATGGAATAAAATGGACATGTCTTGGTATTCCCATCTTTTGAGACAACCATATTGTTCACCGATATGAAACAGGGTTATTCCCAACACAATCAGGGAAAATGGGTTGGTCAAGAGGTAAAATTGTTAATCTTTCTCCCTTGTGGCTACCCTTGTCCAAAGTTCGGCCATTTTGGGATGATTCTCATTCCAGTGACGTGGCAGGGTTCGGTCGCTGCAATTTACCCAGAGATATGATGTGATACGTACTACTTGGGGACTGAACCAATAAGAATGGAGGTACCCTCTGGTAAACTAACATAGCCATGGAAAATCGCCATTTTTAATAGGTAGACCATCTATAAATTGGCCATTTTCCATGGCTATGCTAAATAACCAGAGGGTATATATTTTTGGGAATGCAAAACTCGAATCAAGAAACATCATGATTTCTGGGATTGACTCAAACCCTAGGGCCCTAGGACCTGAATCGGATAGTTTTGATTTTGCTTTCCCCGTTACATAACTAGCCATTTTGGAGATCTTCCCCAATTTTGGGACGCACCCATATGTACCGGAGGAACCCTTGACTGACATTGTTTCAAGACAACTACCCTATAACATGTTCCATAGTTATGTTACCCTGTGGCAAACGAACTAGATGTAGAAAACGTTTTTTATGGTCTTCCCTGGGAAAATAGTCTACAAATGATTGATTTTACGTATGTTAATGTAACCTAGGGTACTTTCCCAGAGGGTACAAGCATCATATGTTTGTTCTACCATATAGGGTAACCACTAACCATATGTATCCATATTTTGGATTCGATGATATATCCATTAAATCCCTACATGTCAATGATTAAATCACGATTTGTTGGTGAACAACAACACCATGTATAGGACGAACAAAAACCCATTAGAATGGCTCAGATTTACGTGGGATACCCGGCCTGGCAATAGCGTTTACAGTTTGCGAACTGGAAAGATCCACCATCTTTAATAGGTAAATCAACTATATCAATGGCCATTTTCAATAGCTACGGTGGGTGGTTGCGATTTTCTTCCACCCACCTTGGATGGTTGAAAGCTTATAAATAACCCCTTGTTACCCACTTTATAGGGCCAAAATGCCGGTGTACATCCCCCCCCAAACAGGGTCCTCTATAAAATGGGAACCCATAACCCTCCTGGGGAGGGTTTACCTCTATAAATGTGGAGGGTTTGCCATCACTTAATCCCTTGTTTAACCCCAAAACCCTTCAAACACTACTTAAAATGGGGCACTCTGACATATCGTCGAGCCTATCTTTACTTTCCTAAACCTACCCAAAACTCACTATAGAATGGGGGCCTATAACCACCCCAAATGTCTGGATTTCCTTAACAAGCCTTAAACCCAGGGTTTTCTTGACGTCATGGGTTCCCCTTTTATAGTGATTATATACCGTATACCCTTAGAAACCCTGATTTTCTGACTTCATGGGTTCCCATGTTATAATCCCTGGGTCTTTCCTTATAATTCCATAATAATGCCATGATGTTTCATGATCTTCCATTCATAACTCTTAAGGGCTATAGGCTATAACCACATGGATCGACCCGCAGTGATCTGGACGCATGGTTCGGACTGGGCCACCTGCGTTTTGGTATATGTAAAACATAAAACAAAAAAACATAAAACATTCCAGAATATTCCGCATATTCCAGATATATATATATATATATAGAGGCATAAAGTGCCGCATGAGGCTGTGATTTCCCATTCTGTGCAGTTTGTTTTTCCTTCCAAGAAAGTGTTTCCGGTGTTTCCCTGCATGCTGACATCTCCATTTGCAAGATTATGTTCTTCTAAATGGTGATTTGCCAATGATTTTCCGTTGCTATGTCCGGTTTTGCCTCTATAAAATGGGCCATTAAATGATCTAAAACATGAAAAAATATAAAAACACATAAACCATTCCAGAATATTCCACATATTCCGATATATACAGGTTATGCGCCTCTATAAAATGGAAAATTATGAAACATATAATACAACATTCCAGAATATTCCGCATATTCCAAATATATACAGGTTATGCATCGATTAAATGGACAATTATGTAAAACATGACTAACATAGAAACACATAAAACATTCTAGCATATTCCACATATTCCCGATATATACAGGTTATGCCTCTATAAAATGGAACATTATGTAAAACATTACAAAAAAAAACAAACAACATACATATTCCAGAATATTCCACATATTGCAGACATATACCTCTATAAAATGGACAAATATGGAAAACATTACTAAAAAACAACGACATAAAACATTCCAGAATATTCCACAAAAATCAGATATTTACAGGATATGCATCTATAACAAGTGTAATATTGCTCAATTTTGGGTATCTTGAAGCTTTTGGATGCATTTTGTAAAATGTGGTTAAACTTGTAGCATGTGGTGGCAACATGTAGCAATAATTGTGGCATTTTTGTTTTTTTTCCATTTTATAGTGGCGGTTGTTCTAAATTCCTTTCTCTTGAAGCGGCCATTCTTCGTGAATACAACAAGTAATTTCGCATTTTTTTTGCGAACCCCGAGTTTATCTTTCGCGGGGGTCTCAGGTTAAAGTATGTTGCTAAATCTTTCGCAAAAAAAACAAACTTTCGCAAACTCAGAAAAAAACACTTGCGCGGGGTCTGATGTTGAAACCCGGCGGCCTTGGCAGTTAAAAACCCTTACATGGACCTTTAGAACGACTCCCAGTTGTATAGGTTGGGTTTTGATGTGATGGGTAGGGTATGGTATGGTGATGTATGCTTTTTTGGTGATACTGATACTGATAACAGTTTCAGCCACTATACAATGCGAACCCATGACGTTGGAAAATTGCGGTTTTCCAGAGTAATTATATGGTCTCTAAAGAATGGGAACCTATGACACTGTACGTAGCTGTCACCCAGCAGGTGAACTTCACTAAAACATGCTGCTCTGACCCCCAAAAAAAACTGTATAAAATGGGGGGGCTACACCCGAGCCCTAAGAGAACAAAATGTGTATTAACAAATTCGCTTATCGGGTACGTATCCCCCCATATTTTATAGTGGAAATTCCCAAGGAGATCTATAAATAATGGGATGTTTACCACCGTTTTCAACTGGTGCAGGATTTCGCTGGCCCATCCACAGTTCATTTCACAACCGGGTAAACCACCTCACCTTAAGTGCCTTAAGTCTCACCAAGTCACCCTGGTAGTCGCCGGGCCAGGCGGCTTCCAAGGCCTTGCGAAGCGGCAACTCTTCGAAACCTTCCAGGGCACCTGGGAAAATTCACCGATGGGGATCTGCCGAGATCCCCAAGGATCTCCGGGAGTTCCCCTACAATGTGAGGGGACCCAAAATAGCGAACTTGCTGCAAATAAGTCCAATTTCACTATGGTTTATGGTATTTATAACATTTTATGACTATAGTTACTGGGGATTATTTTAACCAACTTATAACTGGGGGGGAACCACATTGTACTTACTGGTGCGTTTTACGCAGGGAATGGATGGGTTGCTGGGGGATGCTGGGATGATTCTTACTAATGATGAAATGGATCATTCCCGGATTCCCGAAAATCCCTGCGTTTAGCACCAGTAAGCCTAACACCATGCATCTACTTGGGCAGTTGTAGTACTAACATGACAGTTCTCCAGAATTGTTGTTGAGACCAAAGGACTTGTGGATCTAATAGAAGGCCACCAGTTTCATTGGAGGTGTTAACATTCTTGACAATAAAACAACTAAATAGGGTTTCAACCTAGCAAACATAATGATATGATGGCAAGTACTGGGACATATCGAATACTTAGATGGGCCATGTTTAGCTGGTTAACTGGTGGTTATAAATGGTGTCATATGCCAAGACATAAGGGCAATAATTTGTGGCTTAAATCAGTTGCGGTCACCAATTCAATAGACTCCATAGCCTATCTATGCACAAAGGGACCCACACAATTGGTAATTTACAATGGATTGAACTATTCAAGCATTCATTTTGGAATGAGTGACATGTGGGGTATCATTGTTTAATTTACCAATCGCAAAAAAGGATGGTAAACCATCTGTGGAGCAGAAATGGGTAAAAAACATTGGTGCAAACCAATTCGACTGAAAGCTCTGGGATGCCTTCTGCTTATTTATTAATCATAGCTAGCTGGAAAATCCACTATTTTGTAAACTATTTACTTACATAACTTATATACTGTATTTCTATTTCAATAAACTTGGGAGTGTACAGGCATGTGAACGTATCAAAATTACATAAAAGTACTATTTCTATAGCTGCTTCTTCTAGCTACGTACCGAGACACCACGGATTTTTTCGGGCAATGGCCAGGAAACCTCGCTCTGATTTCAATGGGACGATCCATTCCTGAAGCCCTGCCAGTCTATGCGAACCATGGTGCTGGTATATTTACCTACATTTGGGTGATGTCTAGGGTATGATGGTAAATATTCATAAATATTCCATACATGGAGCATTTGTAATCTGAAACCGATCCATGACTGGGTGATTTTGTTCGGGTAAATGTTGGTACTGTAAACCAGCACCATGGAGCATGTGAAAAGTGCATCTCCACGTCGCTCAAATCGTCGAAGCATCTTTTTTTCCGCTTGATGAACTCAATGGCTGATGCAAAGCTCACGTTTCTTGTGATATGCTGGCATTTGAACCTCTGAACAAACAAATGGAGAATAATGGAGATACAAGTGAAACCTAAACTCTACACAGGGTACATTTTTTGGAGTTCAAGCAAGAACCAATGGAACATCACACGTACTAAAAATATCAATAACATATTCGGTTGTTTCCTGCATTTTTTTCATGTGTCTGCGTCTGAAAATGCTGTACAGCCCAAAAAAACATTTTTTGAATAGAACAATTATCATCTGGTTGGTGGTTTCAACCCCTCTGAAAAAGTTGCAGTCAGTTGGGATGATTATTCCCGATATATGGAAAAATATGTTTTTTGTTCCAAACCACCAACCAGTCATGATTCATCATTGGATTTTGAGGACCCTTCTTGTGAAATCAATCCATTTGAAACATCGAAGATCCAAATTTCAACAATCTCCATGGTCCAAGGCACCAAAGTACAACTTGGACCAAGCACCAGGAGCGATTCCCATTACTTGCACCTCGACCCCGGGTTGACCCCACTGCAGAATGCTGAGTGGTTGGCTCTCAGTGATGATGAAAAATCATAGCCCATCTGGTTATTTAACATAGCCATGGTATAGATGGCCCATTTATAGATGTTTACTTATTAAAAATGGTGATTTTTCATGGCCATGTTAAATTATCAGAGGGGAAATCATGGATGATTCCGCACCAAACATCCCTTAAACATTGAAAAAAAAAGTTGCGCAGAAAACAAAGACACGGCGACCAAACTATGAGGCCAATTGGGATGGGTTCAATCAAATCCAGACTAGGCGTTCAGTGACTGAGGATTGAAAATGGGGTAGGTACAGTATATCATATATCCATACCCATAGGATCCATGGTGCTGCTATATATGGTAACATTTACCATCAATATACCCCCTTTATGATAGCATATATACCAGCACCATGGATCCCATGGGATATATATCCCCCTAAAATGGTCGGACAATGATGATTAACCGCTGGGTTTAGGGGGACATTTTTGGGGGTACCATATTGTCAGACAAACACTAATATATGGACCATTTAAAAGTGTGTCAAAACCTTGTACCCCTGGTGAACATCAAAATAGCTGGTAAGTGGATGTTCATCCCCCTAAAAATGGTATTAATAGGTATTGATCCATACCGATTTAGAAGTATTGCCAACAGTAAGCATCTTGACGAAGTGACTGATATCCACGTTGAAACCAGGCAGCTGTTTCGGGCTGACTGGACGGAGTCAATAGCCTTCTTCAACACTGGTTCTATCAAACTGCTAGCTTGGAGGCTTAGAATACTTCATTTCATTCGGACGAAACGGTGCAACATTTGATGAAACAATTGAACATTTGAGTAGCAGACAAAATTGACAAAATTACTTGTTAAATTTAATGCCATGCACAAACTATGGTCGTGCCCCATCGGCTGCAAGGATTTCAGTACTCTCGGTGGTATCACACATGGGGTATCGGTATCGGGTCGCCCCCCTATCGGTTATGAAGGTTTTGTGACCTCAAAAAGGCCAAGGCGAAGCAAAACTAAATCACGATAATTTTGTCGGTTACTCATTTGACATTCATTTGACTGGTTACTGATCAAGTGCCAGTTGGCCGTCGGCTTGTCATGTTTCCTTTGGAAGCTGGTCCCGCAACCAGAAATCCAGTCCCTTCCAAGGTGTCAAAAGCCGCAGGATCTGGTTGCGGAGACTCTGCCATGGGTTGGAGGGATTAGTTTCCCAAAATGGACTATGTTGACTATGTTCAGGGTTGAACTGTTGTGTAGAATCCCACTGGAAATCTCCAGCTTCGGGATCAGTCTCAGGTGCCAGGCACCCACTTTTAGACACAGAAATGGCACGCCGAGGGGCCACCGTGTATGGTCTCCAACAAACCAGCCAAAGGGTCACCTTTCTTGAAGCGATGGGAGCCTTAACAGAGAGAATCACCCGGCACTGCGATGCCTATCGCTCCCGTCTGTCGCGACTGCTTGCAGACTGGATTGGGAGATGATCCCCTGCAGGGGTTTGGCACAGCACGTTGCCGAAGATGGCACGTCCAAGAAATCGGAGGGCACGTGCTCTCACATCTACCCCATGCAAGAGCATGTACAGCCACAAGTTTGGGGGCAGCGAAATTCCGTCGATGAACATCAAGGCAACGCGCTTCCACTTAATGCATTTTTTCTCTGCTTCGACGGCTTTTGCAGCAGTATAATCCTTTTGCCGAGGTGGTTTTAAATTACTTTGCTTCGAGTGATCCCCACCATGACATTTCAAAACAGCTTGTTGACACCACTTTTGTCTGAAGCTTTTGTCACGGGACTTTTGCCCAACTAACTATCCCAATCATTTGTTTCACCTGGCAGGTCATTGTGCATGTCAGTCTGCCAAACAGGATATAAACATGTCAGTGGGCCATGTGAAGTAAACTCCAGAGCTCTCAACAGGTTTGCTTAAACATGACCAAACAGGCCAGTGGACCACCTGAGCCAAACAAACAAACATGCCCAAACATGTCAGCACACCGCCTGTCAAACATGTTTGTAAAAACATGACTGAAACAAGCCAGTGGACCACCTGAACCAAAGTCAAAAGCTCGCAAGCTCGTGTGTAAACTAGACAAAACCATGCCAGTGTTACTTCACCAGATCGCTGCAGCTGCAACTCTCTATTCCTCCACCAGACCTCTTCAATCAAAACCGATTAGGTCCCACAGGTAGAGCAACGTGTCAGGCCTATGCCTCCCCCGGACCTCTTCAGTCAAAACCGATTAGGTCCCACTGGCAGAGCACTGTGTCAGGATGCTTGCAATGCATCATAGACAGGCCAGGACTGCAGCCGCTCCAGCGTCGAAGCAGCTTTGGTTTCCAACTTGTCAGTCAGTTCTCGCAAGTAGGTAGGAGGGCCTCTGCGTAAAAGCTCCTCCACTTGCTCCGTGAACCCCAGCAAGATGAGATTCTTCAGTTTGCGGGCACGCGTCAGCATGACATAGATGGCTAGCCACCAGTCGGCATCCTCTAGGCCACCACCACGACGCAAATCAACCAGCACACCTCCGTCCAAAGTCAAGCCTTGCGCGCTGTAAGCAGTGCGCAGCATGCCATGCAAAAGAGGAAACTGCCAGCGAATCACTTCAATTTTCTCGGTTTCCTCGCCTAGCTTCAAATCAATTTTGAACTCTGCATGCACCAATTCCACAAAGAACAATGTCTTTGCGTCAGTTGTGTGATCGGCCACATTCTGAAACTTTTCTTCCCACGTCTGCAACAGAGCATCTTCCATGGGCGAATTCTTTCCTTTAAGTAATTTCACCCAGATACCTTTGGCCATGTAGTCCGGAAAAAAATGACAGAATCCAGGTTCCCGACGGTCCAGGCGCTTCTGATCTTCATGGTGCAAATCCACTTTCACTACCACTGCCAGTTTGTCTTTAACCAATCCAAGGTGTGGAGCCAAGACATCCGCCAGTCGCACAACCATGTTCTCGTGCACCAGTAGCATGCCTTGCAATTTGCCAGTGCGATGCGGGTTTGGAACAGTGAGCAGCTGATGTGTCAGCTGCTTGTCTATGGCTTTATTTTTTTCTGGAATGCCTTTGGTCAGCAGCTTGCAAACAAAATAACGGCACATCCAGGTCTTGCGCATCTCGATTTGCCCGTTCCACCATGCTGCGAGCAATGTTCTCCCAATACATTCCAATGACGTGACCATGCTTGAACAAGTCCGTGGTTAGTTCTTTCTTGCAATTTTCGATTTTGCGAGTGCGCAGCTGAGCCAAGTGATCCTCGGACAAAGGAGCAGCAGGCGTGCACGTGCGCATGGCTGTTGTGATTTCTGGCAGGTGAGCATCCAGAAACCGCTTCGACTTCTTCAAATGAATCACTGTATCAATGGTCATCAATGCCGCCTGGGCAGCATGGTGTTCTGTCTGCACTCTGTGCGGCATTTTGCGGATCAGCTCTTCGAGATTGTCAGCTAAGGAGATCTCGTTGGCAGGCTTGATCTGCAAAAAATCACCTGCAATCAGCAAAATTGGTATGTGTCCCATGAGCTCTCCTGGGTGGAAATAGCTGGCTGGATCAAGGCCTTCATCTTGACGGGCGCGCATGCTGCGGTAAAGCATCATGTTTTCCACTGCAGCTGGCACCAAACTGATTTCATCTTGAATGACCAAAATTTTAGGCTGCCAGCGTTGTTTCATCTCTTGCTCTTTTGTCTTCAAGGCCAAATGCTTGTTGCGCAAACTGGCTACGCGATACGAGCAAGCAGTATGACATGTTCGCGCGCGATAGACATCATTGGAAATGGCATCCGATTGGGCGTGGCTGAAGGTGGCAATCATGTATCGCTCTTCTTCTCCGGGTCTGGCTGGAAAAAAGCGACAAAAAACATCCAGCATGAGCTCTAAAATGATTGTCGTCTTGCCAGTGCCACCGGCGCCAATCAAAAGGCATGCGTGCTGCGCACGGTTTCGCAAAGGTGTTTTGTTCTCTTCTTCCTGTAAAGCTACATCCATTGCCTCACCAAACCATCTGCAAGCAGACAATTGCTCCGGCGCCAGCTTGAATCCACCGGCAGACTTTTCAAACGCAGCAACCTTCCGCGCCATCGCTGCAGATGGCTTGCTAAAGGTGCGCCATTCTGCTTCTGGAATCGCGACATCACTGTTTGCAGCATACCAATCAAACTGTATTCAGCATACCAATATCTTGTGAAGTTGATTGAATCGCAAAGAACTTGCAAACCAAATTCTTTGTTTCAGACAAAGTATGTTTCAGCCAAACCAAATTCCACATGACTTCTTAGTGTCCATTCCTCGAAACATATCCGATTCACCTAGGCAAATTCACTGTGTCATCCCAACTCGTGACACCAAATGGCCATGATCTCTTTGCCATGGCTCCTTTGGCGTTGAAGCGTTTGTTTTTCACGCACATCAGCAGTCTGGTTGGATCTTCGCACTGGCAGCATGCACCCAGACGACATATCGAAAACACATGTTGAGTCCCTTGGGTACTGGCTGCAGCTGCAAAAGACACAGCTGTAAACATTTCCTCCTGAGCCACAGGTTCACATTTGAAGCCCAAAGGCTGTACCAGCTCAAGGCGTGACCTTCGTCATCCAAACCCAAATGTCATAATTTTCGCTCGCTAATTCCCCAGAGGTCCGATCACAAAAGTGTCTGTCAACATCCATCGTGCGCAAATGCTGCAGCAGTGTCAAGAGCCCTTGTTTCAGGCTATGCACGATCTCACCAACTGACATGACTGACAGCAACTTCTGCCACGCACCTGTTACAGTCTGAAGGCGTGTGGCCTTGTCAATGTCCAATAAGTAACCAACCTCCAAAGCTTTCACCAAGAGCACTGAATCAGAAGCAAACTCATACACATCCACCCCCTAATCTTGATTTTGATGTTGCTTCGCCTGTTGGTGCCTCTTTGCGCAGGTCAACTTCGGTGGAAGAACTCCACGCTGTAAGCTGCGCAAGTCAAAGGCAATCTCCTCATGCTCCTTCATCATTGTTTCGCTCAAAGTTTCCAGAAGTAACTCCAGTTGACGATGCGAAAGCAAACACTTGCGATACTGCGGATCTTTGTTCAAACAATTTTGTTGTGTTTTGATTCTTTTTTCTATCAGCCAAGACGAATTTTCAACAGTGTAGAAATTGCCAAGGTCCCTGTGGATCATTCTGCGCTGCTGCGCTGCCAGCTCCATCAGGTTCAGCGACTTGAACTGAACTCGGTCAACTCGACAACGCGAAAATGCTTCAACGGCTTCTGATGCCGCCAGAAGCCGGGCCCTCAAATTTTTCACATTTTCATCAATCTTCGCCAACATCTCAGCATGCACCTGTGTGGCTGCGACCAATGGAGTGCCGGTAATGGCCAACGTAAAAAGATCATTCTGTCGCACGCATGCTTCAATACAATCCAGTAGACTCTTAATTGTCTCATCCGAGCGCTCCAGCAGCAACTCTTCACCCGAACGAGATGTTTTCACTGTGCTGACAGAGGGCGTTGGCTCTTCTTCCACACCTCGCTTCTTAATGCCAGTGAAAAGAAGCGACTGCTTTGGATCCACCACGCTTGCAGCAGGCACCCGGACAGCCCCGGTCACAACCGGTTGACTCCCTTGGGTACTTGCCGCAGCTCCAGCAGAAACACTCACAGTACTTGCTGCGGCTCCAGCAGACACACTTGGCGACTCTTCCTCAAACCAAGGGTCTTCGCCAGGTGCCAAAGGGCTTGAAGACGTCTGGACAGCTCCAGTCGAAACCGGTTGAGTCCCATGACCTTCCTGCCCCCGCACCGGACATCCAGCCCAATGTGTGCTGTGCCAGCGGAGCGTGCAATTCATACGGACATGCTTGGCTTCTGGCGCAGCACCTTCATGCAAAGCAATTTCCTGCTGCAGCCCAACTTTCTCCCACTCTTGCATTGTAGTGAACATAGGAAGCAACTTCAAATCTTTCCAAGTGGAGCGCGCCGGCACACCATGGCAAAACTCTGCTTGGAAGTCTCCTGCCATCACCAAAGCGTCACCGCCTTCTTGGAACAACATCCTTGTCACTGGACCTTTTTTGGGGCCCAAGGTCAACACACCCCCATGCCCAAAGGAAAAGGACGTGATCGGATCAACATTGCTGTAGGTGGCAGACTCATCTGAATGAGGGCTGATTCCATGATTTTTGTTGTGATCATTCCAGTTCCACAACACCTGCCACGACTTGTCAAGCCAAGTGGGACGCAGGTCTCGATTCTGAAAAGCTTCATAGTTCTTCATCAATGTGGCGTCCCATAATTTCTCAAATCTGCTTCCAGCTTTCCACATGGCCGATGAAGTTGGCACGTGTTTCTGGTGAGCGTCAGCTCCAAAGATGGAGCGACACAGACACGGAGCACGCGTCACCTGCGCACTCCAGTAGTACACAGTCCATCCGTCAGCTTTCAGCATCTGCTGGGATTTCGTTGGACGAGCATTGTTGTTGCGAACATTTTCTTCCCACTGTTGAATCTCTTCCAGCTGTGGCGCAATGAAATCTCCAATCTCGAAGAAGGGCCTTCCCTCAGCACAAGCGCCTTTGGCGAATAGCAAGAAGGATTTGTTCGATCTATGCGGCAATCTCTCTGCATAGTTCTCAAAGGCAACGTCTACACCAAACAAAAGCTGCGCAAATTTCACAGTGTCATCCCAACTCGTGACACCAAATGGCCATGATCTCTTTGCCATGGCTCTTGAAACACCAGACCTTCCCGGTCAAAACCAGTTCAGTCCCAATGTGTTCAAACTTCCCAAGTGCAAAAAGACAGTGTCCGTCTTGCAGTGTCAAGCTACACCTAAATATCTATATAGTTAGTAACCTCTCCAATCTTTCTCAATGAAACATTTCGAAGAGATACACCTACTACATTTATATTCTCAAGCGTTTCATGTCCCTATCCTTTGAGCACTATTATCTTATTCACGTTTCTGCTTGTGCTTGAGCTCGCGTCGGCTGCTGCGCAGGGTGTCAAAGCACAAGCTGCTTTCCAAATCACTTATCCAACACTTTTGAAAGCAGCCACTGGCCAATGTGCTTACTTCCACTCAAACTCCTCGCCTGCGCAGCACTCGCAGATTGGTCACCCTCTGCCATCACCTGCCAAGCAAACAAAAACACGCAAGAAGACACTACTGATCACACAACCTCCTCCTGCTGAATTCTTCTATGATGATGTCCATCCTGCCTCTGGCCCGCGATCGAGTAGATGAGGGCTCAAATGCTCCAACAAATGTTCCGATGTCACATATCCACCATGCCACCATAGCTGTGATACACAACAGAAACCCTGTGTGATGTTGACTGTCTCAAGCATCAATCCAGCATGAGATCACTTCAAGTAATTTGTAGTAACTTGCTGTAAGATGTTGCCTGTCTCAAGCGTCTTTGCAAACAGCTCCAAAGGTACAGAAGTGGAAATGTCTCTGTCCACCCCAGTGACTCTGTCATCTGTTCAAACTGATTGCTTCAAACTTTGCCACCTGCAAAGTAAGAAGTGGCATTGCCCCGGTCACTCTACCACACACGCGCGAGTTTGCAAGTAATATATAACATACTTGTCTGACATTCTTTCTAACTTTCTTCTGCACATTCTTTGTCCCATATCTTCCTACATGAGGTCCGGCAGGGAACACTTGGCGTGGATACTCGCGGTTGAGGTCCGGCAGGGAACACTGGGCGTGGATGGTCGTGGTTGAGGTCCGGCAGGTCGTGGTTGAGGTCCGACAGAGAACACTGTGCGTCGAGGGTCGCGGTTGAGCAGGAGGAGGAGGAGGAGAGGAGAGGAGGAGAGGAGCAGGCAACTGACATAAAATCTAACAACCCTCACCTGGCAGGTGGGGAATAACCCAGTCTGCACCAAACCCCCTATCAAGGCAAGCTGCCCAATAATTCAGAGTGCTTTTGTCTTAGTTGCTTTGGACATCTTGGGACCACCGGAAAACCCAGCATGTCCAATCTACCCAGATGAAAAATCCAGGAGTTTGCTTTGTCCCTATGGTTGCTGAAAGCACAGGTGCCTGGGATGAGGGTGCTATGGCTGTGCTGAAGCATGTCGCCCAAGCTGTTGCAACCCAATCAGGGGAGGACCCTGCAACTTGCTTCTCCCTTCTCCTTCAAGAGTTGGGGGTAGCCATTCGTTCTTTTCGGGCTCGGGCCGCTTTGCGGCGTCGCAGCGAGGGCGTTGCTCGTTGATGGTTGCCGGCGTGGACATCCTCTTCTGAGCTGCAGTGACCCGCTATTTCTTGCTAGGTTTTGCCAATTTCTCACCTTTTAGTTTCTAGTTCATGACCGCGAGTCCAAGTCCCTGCTTGTGTTTTTTCTGGCTGATGCCCCTTTTCCCATCCTGGCTCTGCCGCCCAACTTGCTGTCCCAGCATTTACTGGGACGTGCGGATTGACTCGCATGGTCTCTGCGTCCCCTCTTGTTGATCCTGCTTTTACGAAGCTGCATTTACTCAGCTCGGCGGATCGGCACCACACGTGTCAGGGGCAGCTCTTTCTTTTTCCACACCTTCCCATATGCGGTCGGTCTGTGGATACATTGTGTTAGAATATTGGTCACTTTTCTGTTGGACTGGGATCAAAATCCATCACTTCATCCGTGCGCCTGCAGGACACCCTCCTGAGGAAGTGGGTCATTACCTCGTTGCTGCGGTTGACTTGACCAACACAAATGCCATAAATTTAAATGGTTAAGCCCCGACATGGCCTGGCTCCAAGCCCTATTTCTGATGGCTGAACCCCAAAAAAAATATGGTGAAATCCCAGTCTTCATGGCCAATCTTGGAGAGAAATCCCTTCCCTTCCCCTGCAAGAACTCTTGGCTGCCTTCGGCACGACATCCTGTGTCCAAACAACAACTTTGCAGCATTTTGCAGCATGCCGAAGAACCCTGTCTTTTTTCATTCCCAAAAATCAAACGAAACAATGTCATGTCTCAGATCGCTATTTGGAGGTTTTCTGGCGGGACCCCCAAATCATTGAAATCATTTAAATAATTTGACCATTCACGACTTAGTATTGAAACCCATGACGTGGGGATCCTCCAATTTTAAGAAACCACCATTTTCACATTTACCCTCTGGTTATTTAACATAGCCATGGTATAGATGGCACATTTATAGATGGTTTACCTGGGTTTACCTATTAAAAGTGGTGATTTTCCATGGCTATGTTAGTCATAACCAGATGGTAAACATCATGCAGGTCACGGCCGTTTTACTGGTAAGGCCATGGCCGTTTTGTGAAGATTTCGGCTTTGCGAAGCCATGGTGTGCAGGGGAGTTTAATAGGGGAGTACAAATTATGCTACCACAATACTAAATAAGATGAAAAAGGTAGGGGTGGTAGCATAATTCTACTAATGCAAAATATCAGTATAATAAGATTGTACGAGTTACTCACCAAAGCGGGCTCAACCCACCAGAATTATCGTTGCCAACAGGGGTCAACAGCAGCCACTCAGCCACGGTGTCAGAACATTTTGTCCATTGATGTCCATTGCGTGTAGAGCGTTCGCCAAGCTGCTGTAGAGTAATTTCCCAGATTCATCGATCAGTCGGACGGAGCCACCTGGAAAGAATTTTGCCTCGCTGAGAGAACTGGAAAAAAAAAACATACCCTCTGGTTATGACTAACATAGCCATGGTATAGATGGTCCATAGAAATAGATGGTTTACCTATTAATAGCATGGTGATTTTCCAGTTGGCTATGTTAGTCATAACCAGAGGGTACGCGGTGGCAGCCCAGCAGCCCAGTGATGTTTGTTGATTTATAAACCCCCATGATTTCTGTAGATAGAACTGTGCCTAGCTAACTTGAGAGGGTCCCCTCTTAGCGCGGCTGATTCCAGGAATGAATGGTATCCCCGATGTACCACCCCATATATATAATATTATATAAAATACAAATGTATGTATATATATATAGTATATTATATTACTTAATAATATATATATATATACATATATGTGTGTATCTAACTATGCATACAATATACTGGGAGGTTAGTAATCCTGGGTTGACATTAACCTCATCGATCCTGTTTATCAGTGGCCTTGCCGCAAGGATCGCCAAAATCAGGGCCCAGTACCAAAATTGCAGTGTCACTGGGTGCCCCCTGAACGTACTGTGGATGAAATCTTGGCACCAGCTGGTAGATGGTGTATCGCATTTTACAAGGTGGTGCCCCATAGTTAGCTAACTTGGTTTATAAGTCCAATAACTATGGTTTATGGTATTTATAACTATAGTTACTGGGGCTTAAAAACAACTTATAACTGGGGGGTACCACCTTGTACCATTCTTTACCGTGTTCATAATTACCAATAGTTGCCAACTGCTACAGGATGGCTTGTCCATCCTCCGTTGGGGATTATCATCACATTTTATGGTTGAAAGTACCAGATATCCCTGGTAATCAAACATAGCCACGGACAATTGTCACCTTAAACAGGTAAATCATACAAAATTTCATGGGTCATGTTTTTATATGCTACATTACCAGTAGGTACAAGGTTTTCGGCCCCCCAGTGATGTTTGTTGGCTTATAAACCCATTAACATCCATTAACATCCATTAACTAGTTCGATATAGCTTCACAAACCATAGTTAAGCTAGGTTTCAATGGATTGGTTTAAGATAAAATTGAAACCGAAAAGCCCCAGTTCTGAAAAAATACGGGTAAAATCGATGGTTTCCCAGATTTTTCCCAACAAAACCAATCCATCGTTCAGCATCGCCACCCAGTCGCCCCCCAGTCGCTGGCCAAGAAACCAGCTGGGGCGCCACGTCGCGTAGCGTGCTGTTGGGAGGAGCTTGGTCTGCGGAGTCGGTTCTGTTGGTTTCTAACCCCCAGTACTTCGATATATGGGTATGGATCAATACGTATTAAATGGATCAATACATCTAAAATACACTCATCCCATAGATAATTAGGTGATAACTTCTGATATTACTATATGGGTATGGATCAATACCTATACATACCATTTTTAGTGGGATGAACATCCATAAATCCCAGCTATTTTGATGTGAACTACAGGGGTACTATTGGTTTTGACTCATACCCATATCTAGAAAAATAAACCGTGAAATTGGAGTTATCTACCCCAACTTAGCTAAATATTAGGGGCACCACCTTGTAATATATTATATGATATAATGATATTATATGATATTATATGTCATATGTCATATATACTGAAAAATATGCTTTCTCCAAAAATAGTTGCAACTAGGGCACCCAAACAAATCATGATACATAAACATGTTCGCTACTCAATCGTTTTCTTGGTGTACACAATTTTCGAATACACTGCGTGTTCACTACAGTAACTTTCGCCACTTTCAACATCCCCTAACAGCATCCCGGGCTGAAACATAGAATGCCTAAAGAAGGAACAACAAAAGGGTGCAGAATAGTTTTTGGATTTTGTTTTGGCTCAGGTTTTTGATTTTTTGTTGGCTTTCTTTCCTGGTACCATCTGCCTTGTATTTGCAACAGTTTGGAACTAGAATCTGTCATTTTGCATGGTATTTGCTACATTTTGGCATGGTCACGTTGCATTTTGCATGGTATTTCCTACATTTGGCCATGTTCGCCTTCCATGGGTTTCATGTAGGGTTTCTTAATTATCAGGCTTTCCAAACCTTCATGTGGGTTTCTTTAGGGCTTCTTTAGGGTTTCATTTAGGGTTTCTTTAGGGTTTCATTTAGGGTTTCTTTAGGTTTCATTTAGGGTTTTCATTTAGGGTTTCATTCAGGGTTTCTTTAGGGTTTCTGTAGGGTTTCATGTAGGGTTTCATTTGGTGCTTCTTTAGGGTTTCATTTAGGGTTTCATGTAGGGTTTCATTTCAGGTTTCATTTAGGGTTTCTTTAGTTTTAGGGTTTCTTTAGAGTTTTGTTTAGGGTTTCTTGTGGGTGTCATTTAGGGTTTTTTAGAGTGTCGTTTAGGGTTTCTTTAGGATGTCATTTAGGGTTGGTTTCATTCAAAGTTTCTTTAGGGTTTCATTTAGGGTTTCTCTAGGGTTAATTTATGGTTTCTTTAGGGTTCATTTAGGGTTTCATATAGGGTTTCTTATCAGGAGTTCTTTTCATAATTTCTTTAAGGTTTCTTTGGGTTTCACCTAGGGTGTTTACAAACAGGAGAGAGTAGCAAAGAAAAGAAAAAAACAAAGAGGCAGTAAAGACAGAAAGCAGAGAAGCAAAGAAGCAGGAAGTAGAGCAACAAAAAGGAAAAATACATGCCTGAAGAAAAAAGTATAATAGTAGAAGTAGAAAGGTACACAAGCATAAAAGCAGAAAAGCAGAGAAGCAGAAAAGAAAAGAAGCAGGTAAAGCACAAAAGCAGAAGAGCAGAGAAGCAAGGAAAGCAGAGAAGCAGAAAAGAGAAGAAGCAGGTAAAGCAGAGAAGCAAAGAAGCAGGAAAAGCAAAAAGCAGAAAAGCAGAGAAGCAGGAAAGCATAGAACCAGGAACCCAAAAATAATTCCAAAACCTGCCGCCAAAAAAACATAAAAATAAAATAAATAGCCCATGGCAAACAAAATCCTTTGGGGGATACCACCCAAAACACGAGGATACAAGGTGACCCAACAAATGGTGGAAATGCCCACCAACTGCCATGGTTTTATGCGAAGAAATTTACCCGGGTGGAGGCAGGTGTTATTCCACATTATTCCACATGGAATCTTAAGAGATGGGGGAGCTCAACATCATCCAAGTTATAAGTGTAAGCCATGATGAAATGGGGCAGGAAAGGATCCACATGGAGCAGGAAATGCCTGAGAATGCTGTGACTGACGGCAAAAAACACTGGCAAATTCAACTTGAACTGGACAACAAACAAATGGACAATCCACTGTAGAGCATTCTCCTAGGAAAAAAAACATGTCCCATTCTGCGCTCACCATGGTGCATATGCACATCACCAACATAGAAACCCGAAGAATTTATCACCCAGTCATGCATCTGTGCATATACCAGCACCATGGTTCGCATATGGCTGTGGGTGTTTGCATTTCTATGTGTTCTTGTCCAAAAAAAATGAACATCCCAACTCGACCTGTCATGAAAATCCTTGGGATTCCCAGAAGTAAAGACATTCTTATTGTAGTAACAGACCCGCCTAAGCACTGATCAGTCAGTGACCATAACTATCGCTTGGTTAACTGTTGGGCTTATGAAGGATATGGGGGGTTTCCATGAATGGAGGATCCCCAACAACTGGTTGGTGTGTTTCATGGAAAATTCCATCTACAAATGGATGATAACTAGGGGTACCCCAACTTCGGGAAACCTCCATATAATTGATGGTTATATAAATACCAAACATGAAGAATTTGGCGGATTCCTTAGAACCTATCTTTGCGCCATTTGCAACAAATATAACACGCAAACTTTGTAAGCCATGCTCGAACAATATGAATACGATATCCCCTGATACACGCTGGGCCTTTTGGAGCAATATCAGGTAACATGTAACACAAAATGTCTACTCAAGTATTCTAAACGTGTAAGTTGGATGGTATTATTATAAGATATTATAAGTAGTAAGTAGTTGTTTTGTTCCAACTCCCATGTGCTTGCAAGTATTTTAGCTACTTCTGACTTGTTGCTTCTTCAAAGGGGTGCTACATGGTGCTACAAATATTGGGTAGTCTCGATGCTCTTCCTCCGTACTCTCAATTCTACCTGAAGGAGTCTCTCTTCAATGGCCCTCGGAGTAAAGTGGCCCTGAAGCATCACCCAATCATGTTATTGCAAAAAGTAGTACCCAAGCGGTTTTGTCCCCGATTTTCTGTTTCCAAGCAGACCCAGTTCCTGCATTGTGGTGCTCCAGTTCAGAATTGTTATAAGCTTGTTTCTTTCACTTACTGCAGTAATTTCACTGGAATTTATGGTAGATAAATACATGCACATGTATTTTTTTTATCTTTATATTATACATAATATGTGGTTCCATGGTGAACATCAACCAACAAACATCCAACTGGGATGGACCCAACATTGTATCTGACAATACCGCTATATCGTTCCATGCGTTGATTCATCATAATCTTCACAATCATTCCATGGTCATGTTCTTTTTTGAAGCTCTGGTCGTGTCCAAACTCCTGGATCTTCTTGAGGAACCCCCCCAGAAATGAAAAACAGGTTCTGGTTATGGTTGGTGGTTTTTCGCCCTACCCCCCTGAAAAATGATGGAGTGAAAGTCAGTTGGGATGGATTGACATTCCCAATATGATGGGAAAGTCAGTGAAAATTCCATGGTTCCAGTCACCACCAACTAGTAAACCTTGGTCATTATTAACCATTACTAACCATTATTAACCGTTTAATATAACCATGAATTATATACGGAAAAGTCCATTATTTTTTATAGATTCCCCTGCCTTGGGGAATGGATATATAACTCTCTTAAGGGGAAAAAGTGTTATCCGAGAGCATCGACTCAGCAAATATCCAGAATTTGTTATACTAGTGGTGATTTTTTATGGTAAGTCCCCGTTGAACTTGTTGGCTTTACCCGGCCTGGTAAACATACAAAGAGCTATTGAAAATGGCCCAGTCGAAATAGTGGATTTACCCAGCTAGAAAATGATGGATCTTTCCATAGTTATGTAAACGTTTACCAGAGGGTATCCATGTAAACATCCCGTATGAAATTCATGGATTATCCGAATGATTATCCGAATGATTAACTACCCAGTTATAAGTTGATCCTGCCAAGTGACAAGGGATTTCTTCCCCGCTCAACTTCACAAACTTCAGCTTTCCGGCAGTGCCGGCGTAGCCACCAGCGGCCATGGCACGATAGATCTGGGTAGTGAAACCCTGGTACCAATGGACCTGCAATTATCTGCTTGTTGGTATAGCTACCCCTCTGAAAAATGTGAAAGTCAATGGGAAGGATTCCCCGATACAAAACATGGAAAATCATCCTTAAATGTTTGAAACATTTTGAAACCACCAACCAGTTATGGTCATGTAACACACAAATCATTGATTTGCTGAACATGTGTTTTTTAATGCAACCCCACTATCGTGCTGGGTCGAAACTCTCATGACACCTACATGTGATGCACGAAACCCTCCCCGTGACAATGTCGAACACTTCGGCTGTTTTTGTTCTCGATCATGTTGCTGATGTGGACCCATGTCCCATCTGCTCCAGAAAACTGTTTGAGCAGTTCAAGAGACCGTGGCGGCATCATGGATGCGTTATTAAGGAAGTCACAGCAAGATCCTCGCTGGAAATCCTGCGAATCCTGCGAAGAAAAACATGATTCGTGATTCATGACTTTCCTTTGAAATCAGGATTTTCCAGTCGGCCATTTTAGATCCGATGGGCAATCACTCATTATGGCCAACGTATCAAAATGAGCCTGTCAAACACGGAGTCTTAATTTAAAAATATTTAAAAAAAACACATTATTATTTCAGGCTCCTGATTGCTGATCGTTCATTGAAGGTACAATGGTACAATGTGGTGCCCCAACAGTTTGTAAATCAATCAATACCACAAATCCTGGTTGTATCCCTTGTAAACCAACTTCGCTATACCTTGTACAATGGGAATTGGTCAGGTTGAGGTTAAGCATCTGGAGGCTAAATCTACCAGTCACAGAGTCACAAGGAAGGCATCGAGGTTGAAACTGCGATTGTAAATGATACCCTCTGGTAAACGTTTACATAGCTAGTGAAAATGGCCATTGAAATAGTGGATTTACCCAGCTAGAAAATAGTGATTTTCCATAGCTATGTTGGTTTACCAGAGGGTAGTCTGGATGTTTTGCACTGCATTCTATCAAACTGTACTCAATAAATCCAAGCCTAATTATAAACCAACTTGCCCAACAAGGCCTGAAATACCCATCTTCGACGTGGATCAACAACTGAATTCGTAGCTCCGAAACGGCTCCCCGTTTTCCATAGGGATTATGGATACAACCATAGCTCCGAAGCCCTCCACCACCTCCACCACCTCCACCACCAAATATCATTTCTTGTTAGTTGTTATTGATCCCATCAGATCATCAAATATGTTCCCAAAAAATGGTTGGTTATTATATCCCAATATATATAACTGGTTATGGGTATATATATTATGATTCAATGATATCCCATATAACTGGTCCCCAGTTGTTGGTTTGTATAAAGCTGGTCTCTATATATATATATATATAATCGGTGTAATATTATAAAATATGTCATTTATTATGAAATCCCCTTGTATATGTATATAATATCTGGTTGGTGGTTTTAACATGTTTTAACCATCTTGAAGAATGATGGAGTTCGTCAATGGGGACCATATATGAAATGGAAATTAATCCAAATGTTTGAAACCACCAACCAGATATTTCTATTTCCTATATCTATTATGGAAAATTCATTAAAAAATGAAGGTTTCTAGCTGGGAAAATCATCTATTTCTATGGGCCATGGCTTCCATGGCTATGTTAAATAACCAGAGGGTAATTATATATATATAATTATATATATATGGCTAAATTATAATAATTCACAACATCAAAAGTTCGGCCATTTGGGGATGATTTCCCTTATAAACCATGATTCCAGGGTTCGGTCGCAGTGAGGGAGAACAGTGAGGTCGTTATAATTTAGCCATATATATATATATATATACCCTCTGGTTGTTTAACATAGCCATGGAAACCATGGCCCATAGAAATAGATGATTTTCCCAGCTAGAAACCTCCATTTTTAATGAATTGTCCATGGCTATGTTGAACAACCAGATAGTATATATCAGTCATTATCTCAGTTGCCCATGTTCCTGGGATCCCATGACCCCGCACCCAGCGGCACCCAGCGGCACCCAGCGGCGCCCCAGGCGCCCCAGGCGCCCCAGGCGCCCCAACGCTTTCGCTTTGGCATCGGGTCCTTGCCTTGGAATCGATCGAACGATCGACGGGCACCCACCACATTTTTGGGGAAATGTTGGGTATATCCTCTGGTAAACGTATAAGAAACTATGGAACATCACCATTTTATAGCTGAGTAAATCAACTATAAATGGGCCACTATCAATGGATTGGCTTCAGAGAAAATCTACCGGAACCATTGATTTTCCCAAATATGGAAATTTACTGTTTCATTTTTCCCTTCAACCAATCCATTGGAGGATAATCCCACTTAAGTGGATAATAGCCCAGGTTAGTAAGTCCTAATGAGTGGATTATCCCACTGAAATAAGTCGCTTTGAACCCCCAGCAGCGTTACAGCCTTCTGACCAGCCTTCTTCGTCGAATCGTGGGGTGGTACTCCAGGTTGATCATCCATTTAGATCAATTTATGGTCACTGAACCATGGAATTTTATATTCACAGTCAGATTATTTGAATGATCGATATTCTGAATCAGCATTTATCTTCATAAAAGATTGTTCCATCAATTATCTGGTGGTATACCTACCCCTCTGAAAATATGAAAGTCAGTTGGGATGATGACATTACCAATATATGGGAAAATAAAAAAATGTTCCAAACCACCAACAAGTTATGGATCAAAGATTGTTTCATCAATTATGGTTACTGAACAATTTATAGATCTATAAACATGATGATTTATAATGTTAGATCATATCCATTTATGGTCACTTTTAGTTCATAATTCTGACCCATGCCCAACTAACGATGGAATCTCATACAAGTGTCACAACTATGCGCTTTCAAACAGATAGAAGAGCCGGATTGGTATATCATTTATCATCATCATATAGTTATTCCCAGAGAGATAGACAAGTAAATCTTTCTTTAAAAGTGAATTACCCTCTGGTAATTTAACATACCTATGGAAAATCACCATTTTTAATGGGTAAATCAACTATAAATGGGTCATTTTCAATAGCTATGTTAAATTACCAGAGGGTAATTCACTTTTCAATCTTTTTGGGGATGACTGCATACATTGGTGGAATATTCCATGGGAGGTCTGCTTCAATGAATCCGCCTGTGGTTCACATTGAAACAACACTCACATCTCCACGCATCAACGCGAGCTCAGCCGCCCACTGTGGAAGAACCTGGCCCTGGCAAGTCTATCGAGCGGGTGAAGTGTACCATTCACATGTCACCCAAGTCTTTGGGAAAAAAATCATCAACAACATCCACAGTTATGGCCCAAAATACCAGTTATAAGTACTAAGAAAACTGCATTTATAGAATGTATAATCCCATAGAAATCACCAGTCATAACAATTGTTCATGGCCATAACTGCAACATCCGCATTTTCTGAATGGAGACTCGTTTTTCCAAACGGTTTTCAAATCCCCCCTAGATCCGATCGCCGGGTGGCATTGGTGATCGCCACAGGAGATTTGGGTCTTGGGCCCCAAGGTGGGCTCGAGCTGTTTGCCACGGAGATCCGATTGAAACTGTGGAAGGCACCAGAACACTATAATTACCATCTGGTTATTTAACGTAGCCATGGAAAGATCCACCCATTTTTCATAGGTAAACCATCTATAAATGGGCCATTTTCCATGGCTATGTTGAATAACCAGAGGCTACAATTTTTTGAGTTTATCCATAACATTCCATAAGTATAGTGTTTGTTTCTTACCATGACGCCATAACTATCTTTTTGGGGTTTAGACTGTGCCGCAGCTTTGTTGGCCTGGTTTGCAAGCTGCATGGCTAAGTCCTGGCGATGCAAGGTCTGGAACATGGGCCTGATAACATCTATGGAATCATACATAAATATCATATGGAATCAGACCCATTTATAGGATACATAGCATATAACATACATATGGAACAGAATCTATCCGAATCTATCCTTTGTATTTATACATATTACATAAATACCGATGAAATGGAACATAAATACAATCCATTAAATACAATCTTTTACATGGGATTCGTTCCCTCTGGTAAATTCACTAACATAGCATGGAACACAGAAAATCACCACTTTTTGGTAGGCAAATAATGATTTTTATCATCTATTTAACTATGGGCCATTCAAAAAACAGCAATTTGAAAAATAATCTGTGGGTAATCAGTTGAACTATCTGGCTTTATATAGGGATACTTCATGGGAATACTATCTAAAATTGTATAATAGAATGGGATTTTACCACCATAAACAAAAACTTGGGGGTGCAGGCCAAAGGATAATGGGATTCTCACCACCAGAACTTGGAAGTCTACTTCGGATATAGTGAAAAGAAACCTCAAAATCCCATGGAGAATGGGGGATGAAAAGTGCATTTCTTTGAGGCAAATATCATGGAAATGCTGGTAAATACATGGCTTTGTATTAATTGGATTGGTAATGTCACATACATTGTATATCATTGTGTGTATTGTTGTTGTTATATATATATATATACAGAAAAAAATATTTCGATTCATCCAATACATACCTATATCCAGCAGTTCACGTCTCAATGAATTATGGTGACAACACCACTGAATAACAACCGTCAAAACCAACGGGAACAACGTTAGAAATGGAGCCTTCGATCCACATGGGGAAGGGAATATAAACCGTCCCAGCAACCAAACATAGCAGGCTTCACAATACACATCCTTGCGTTGCTATGTTGCTGGGGGTATATTAGTCAAACCTAAATTTGGGGTTGGCTTATCGTTGGATTTTCCTCATTACAACAACCCCCTTTTAGACTTTTAAATCTTTGCAGTCTGGAATCCAATTGCCCATGTAATGTTGGAGTGAGCCTGAAGCAAATGGTGACACGCTGACAATTTCGGCAAGAGAGATACGGAATTGACTTCCAGTACTGGTGATGTGAGCCGCATATGTGATTGTTGTCTACATATGTATATATATATAT